TATTGGATACCAACCTTTACTAGAGAATGTGTTACAAAAACATTCTTTCCATTCATTCCATTCTGCTGTAATAGTGAGTTTTAGTAATGTACAATCATACCAATCTGTACAAACTTTTTCCATGAATGATTTCAGAATCTCAATTTTTTCCTCACTTCTGGTAATATTGAAACGTTCACATTCTTTTTCAAAATTACCCCACCATTGCTCTGCATTCATATTTCGTCCATCAAATTTGTCAATAGCAAACTCATTAGCCAGTTTACCAGAATTTTGTTCAGTTTCTTTTTGACTCTTCTCTAGTATTTTTTCCAATAGTTTTACTAATGATTGTTCTGAAGCATTTGCAGTGGCATCACCGTCTTTTTCATCAATTTCTTCCAAGTATCCTTCGTTGAATTGAATATTGTCATCTTCATCACAGTAAGTATTTCTCTAGTCGTTGGTTAAATTGATCCATACTCTTCTCAGATGGCCTCTTTGCGAGCACGCATTTTTGACCTTTGTATATGCCGGAGTTTTCGTTAATTCTTTATGATGTGATGCATTCATGTGTTCCTTTGGAATTTTAAAAATACGTCCATCCGTTGTGGTTATTCTGGTTACACATAGTATATTTGATTTGCCATCTGCGGATGCTAGTACTTGAAAGGTAAACTGCAATTTTTCCATGGTGATTCACAACGAGAATGTTGTTTTATAATGTCTATTCTATTAATTGGGTCAAAGGTTATAAAGGTTGAATAATACCAGAATTGTTTCTCTGAAATCAGCAAAGTATTTTATTAATTTATCTAACTTTAAATATAAATATAATTTTCAATCTTACCTGAAATCAACAAAGAAACAACATTCAAAGTTATTATTCACGACAATTGAATATTTTATTCGTGCAGCCATTCATTCACATGTTATTTTGTTGCATTGATAAATTGATTGATTATTATCTACCTACGCGTATCCGATATACAAGTGTAATCAATTTTCCTACTTATGGACGCGCGCAATTCAAATATTTAAGGAAATATTTCCTTACATATATATATATATATATATATATATATATATATATATATATATATATATATATATATATATATATATATATATACGATAACATAAGGAGCATTGCCGTATGATTTTAATAGGCAATAGATGAGTTCTCGGCAAAAGTAGGGCCACTATAATTGATACACAACCAATTTATTAACCTGCTGTATATTCCGAATATATTCTTCATCAGGAAAAAATACCTAACAGAAAACACAGATAAACGTCACTAGAGATCTCAGAGTGTCAAGTATAAAACTTTTTGTCAATTGTCATAAAACGTCATAAAACCTGAGCTTTGATTGACATAAAACGTCAATCAAAGCTCAGGAGTTGTAGCAAGGCTTATCGAATTTTCTTCAAGAGTAGATAACTATAGATGCAACTGAGCCTGGCATTATTTCTTTTTTTTATTAATGCTATTGCCATTAACATTAATATGGCACATTTCCAAAAATATTCTATATAATATATATAGAATATATATTATTTTGAAAGTTTTTAGCAATAACAGGCTTTTTTGATATGAAAAAGTTCATTTTTGTTGACGTTTCGTTGTTATATTACAACTTTGTCAAAACTAATGAATAATTGAATTTATTTCTTGAACAGGCAATAAATCAATTTCAAGAAATATAGAATATATATATATATATATATATATATATATATATATGTATATATATATATATATATATATATATATATATATATATATATATAATATATAAATATATATATATATATATATATATATATATATATATATATATATATATATATATATATATATATATATATATATATATATATATATATATATATATATATATATATATATATATAATATATATATATATATATATATATATATATATATATATATATATTTTTTTTGAAAGTTTTAAGCAATAACAGGCTTTTTTTGATATGAAAAAGTTTATTTTTGTTGACGTTTCGTTAGTATATTTCAACTTTGTCAAAACTAATGAATTAATTCATTAGTTCTTCTAACAAATAATCAATTCTTAAAGCTCAATTCTAACGAATTAAGCTTTTTATTAGCTTTTATACCTGTTTTCTCTGTATTCATAAAGTTTATCTATTGTATGTATTCGAGAAATATCATTAGTCTGCACGTAGCATTTGAAAAAGGTGAATCTCATCGAAACGTACGTCATGCAGTATTCTTTTGAATATATGTGTAAATCAGTTTAACAATTGTTTTATTATGTTTATCGATTTACATCAAGTATCGGTCTCATCAATTATTAATATAATAATCAGTTTATAAAATTGTAGTTTTAAATTATATAATATATGATTATACTAAAACTATCCATATTATCAATAAATTATCAAACAATGTCGTTTCCTCATTTACTAAGGATACAATGCAACCGTCAAATATCAGATTAGGTAGAAATGCTTTCTAATATCGAACACATAAATGTTTCCATCCATCGATTACCGAAAGCGAATGCGAGCTCCGGTACGTGATCATTACCTATTTAGACTCTGGAAGTCAGTGAATTGAAGCGTTGTTCAATACGATGAGTAGAATATGAGTCCTTATCCTACTGCTTACACTCACTCGAAGCATCCTTCCGCAGCCACTCCAGGAACTTTGCACTAATCCAAATTGTTTTCCTTGCGTTAGTTTATATAGACCCGGCCCTCTTAACCTGTCTAACACTGCTGATTGATTAGAGGTACAAGCTCCCTCTGCACATCACCCAAACTTTTCATTTTCTTTCCAGTTTGTCTTCGCTCTATTTTGGGGTCTAGATAAAGCTGTTGAAGTGTTTTTGAACAAAAAATCCAGCTGTTTTTGACTATATTACTTATGACCGAAAACAATTTTTCACTTATAAACGATACATCAAAAATTTGTATTCAATAAAAATTTGTTTTCATTCTTATATATACAGAAAAAAATTATATTTTGATATAATGAACAGGAGTTTACATGTTCCGATACTTGGATATTTTCAGCTGAACACAATTTCACACTTTTTCATTCATCACAATTTTTATTCTTTTTGCAAAACAGCTATTCATTTCTCCAGAAATGCACTTTGTGGTATGTAATTCGAAAGGAAAAATTATATATATATATATATATATATATATATATATATATATATATATATATATATATATATATATATATATATATATAAATTAAATATTCGTGGGATAGCAGTCAGGAGGTGTCAAATAAGAAGACTCTTTTTTCCTTAACTCGAGCTTTCAAAACTATATTGTTCCTTCATCAGGAGTGCTACAACGTAATATTACAATCAACATGGTGAATCAAACAATAAAAAGGTTGTTCCATAAAATAAACGAAATTTGTACCAGACCGCATGGCTTAGATCCAATTGATAACCCATCGTGCAGGTTATGTCTGATTGTTACAAAACAATGACATTATTAAAAGTCAGGTTTGACAGAACGAAAGCAAACTACAAAGAAACTAAAGACATCCGAGCTACGGTATCGAATAAAGCTCCAAAATTCTATATTTGATAGAGCTTCATTTGATAGCTTTATTCGATACCGTAGCTCGGATGTGTTTAGTTCCTTTTGCTGTCTTATGAATTAATATATATATATATATATATATATATATATATATATATATATATATATATAAAACTAAATACAGAAAAGTTTTTCACATTAAAATGAGCCAAATAATGTTATTGCCAATTAAATAAATATCATTTAATATAGATATATGAACATTGAAAATAAACAAGCAATAAATCTTAAACAAGCAATAAATCAATTTTTGAATATATATATATATATATATATATATATATATATATATATATATGTGTGTGTGTGTGTGTGTGTGTGTTTATGTATTCATATATTCATTTCTTGGCATTTACCTTCCTTAAAAACTCATGATATGATTTGTTTAAATTCAAGAAAAGCGCAGTTTCTAGACTCAATTTTGAGAGAGCAAACATTATTATTCTTCCGCTTCGGTTGGAACATCCATAGGTACGTGGTTTTCTTCGTACGACGTCTGATATGGAAATACTGCTTTTTCATTTCACATCTTTTTTTTTCATATGTGAATATTACTGCAGAAATGATTTTTGTCATTAGACGATTATTATTCTAACATTTAGTGTTGTTCCTCAAATTTCGATAATATTTTACATCATTCTAAAAGTTCACTTAAAATATTCTCTAATTCTGATTATGACGAGATAGCAAGATAGTTACTTATTACTGGCGTTCAAATATTGACGTTATTTGAGCATCTTGTGTATTAAAATGCATTAAACAGCAACAAATACGATTGTTGATCCCCCACATATCTTCCACTGAATCAATAAATCAGGGTAATAAGGAATAAACCGAACAATAAACGCACATCTTGATGATTCATTATATACAGTCATTATGGCCAAATTTTACTACTTCGACAAATTCTACTGTGAGTTTCGAAAATTTTGATGAATTCTGAAAAAAATATGTTTTAAATTTTTATATAAACTCTGCAAATATGTTCTTTCAAAGAACAATGAATTTTTCAACGTGAAATTTTCCCTTGAAAACATGAAACCAATACCCCAAAAACCTTTAAAGTACTTACCATTTTTCAATTCAAATTTTTGGGCTCATAATCTCTGTACACTAGCTATTTGATAATCGCAATTTTGAAGCGCTGAACCTCATTTTAAATACACAAATGTGCATATCTCACCTAGGATTCGAACCCAAATCTCCCTAGAAAGAGATTTTCACTCTCCCTTCTAGTCTATAGAGACGATTACTTGCCATTGATTCTAAAAAAAAGTCTTTCGACTTTTTTCTGCATCGTTTTCTTTGAACTCAGAGAAACTTCAACTACTGTTTATCACCGGTACATTTCCCAACAGTTATCATCCTGAACTACTTACAGCATCGACAAACACATACACTCATGCCTTCACCTGGGCTCGAACCAGAAATCTACCGAACCATGGTCAGGTGTTCTCCCGACCAAGCCACGGAGGCTGGCAAGCATCTTTAGAATTATTCAAGAATGATTAACTCAAATACGTAATCTGAATACAATGTATTGACGACTACATATATATAGCTAGTATGCGTTAAGATCTACGACTAGAACAACTATCAATAAGTTTTATTCAACATTTGACCACACACTTGATTTATAATGAAGTGTGGGGTCGTCTAATCAGTAGTTTGTTGTTACCATTAGTAATAGTACTGTCAAGAAATTTGAACCTTGACTGATGTCCGATGTAATCACTATTACATGATAAATCTCAGTAATTTGATCAGATCAAACTATGATTGGTATAATTAAAAAACATGAGCATAATTCCAAAAAATTCTTTAATACTTTCGACAAACGCTTCAGGTTAATAATAATATATCATCATTTATATAATAATATGTAACAAATTACGGAATAATATATTGAGGTAGCCAATATATGATCACCCACATGTAGCTAAGCCCATTGTATTAATTTAATGAGAGTTTTATTGAAATGATAATTATATGCTGAAGGACTCCGGTTGATATCTGTTTGATTCTTAATAAAGTTTTTCCTCTGTCTCTTATGATGATATGATTATAATGTTATAATAATAATATATATATAAATAATAAAAACATAACATAATAATGTTATGTTTGTTTCCTTTTTTGCCTGATGCAATAGAAATGTTCCATTATAAATTGAAATTAGAAAACCAATCCGTAATCCTATGTTCCTTTATTATCAATAATTTTCAAATCACAATTATGAAAAATTTCGAAATCAAATATCCGTTTAGTGAAATTTGAAAACTGTTTGCAGACCATCAAAAGAAACAACCATCTCATCGAAAATGATATAAATTGAAACTTCAAAGTATAATCAGAAGAAGTGAAATAATTTACAGTCATTTTCGATATCGCACATTATGAGAAAATAAGAGATAGATGTTAATATTTTCCAAACTTTGAAATGTCGAACTTTCGAAATGAAAAAATATGTCTAAAACCAATAAGTTAAAATTAACACACTTGACTTAAGTTTCACCGAATATATTAAAAAGTCAACATATGTTTCGGGTGCTTCACCCATTATCAAGAGTATACAATATTACTAGTAATTACTATATTAGTAATATTGTATACTCTTGATAATGGGTTAACCACCCGAAACATATGTAGAGTTTTTAATATATTCAGTGAAACTTAAGTCAAGTGTGTTGATTTTAACTTATATTTTATAACATAATGTTTCACCAAGAGATAAGCGAAACCTCTTTATTGAAATATATCTGTTATGCTGGCAAGTAACCAGCTATTGAGAGCTTCTTTTTATCGATCAGTATCAATAACAAAATATTTTAAGAATAAAGGTTCTTTTCTGTTACATTATGATAAAATTTATAAATATTATATAATAAATTGAAATTGAGAAACATTGAATTTGAAAAACAAAAATCGATAAGTTTTTTAATATTCTCGATCCATTAACGATAATCAAATCATTAGAATATGAAAATTCGAACTCAGCTTTTAGTTTTATGAAATCCGTTAACTTTTTACATGCAGTCGAAAAACCAATCATCGTTAAATTATCAAGTTAATGGCAAATTTAATATCCCACTACAGAGAGTGGAGTGATTAGCATGGAGAGATTATAACGAACTATTGGTTATATTCTTTCATTCTTATGTCATAATACAAGAAAAATATAATTTGAATAAAACCACTGAAAGTAGTTTTGTGATTTTCACTATACTTTAGGTAAATATGACACTATTGATAATTGATGAGGCCGATACTTGGAGAAAATTAATATCCATAATAAAACAAAATTTAGAATTTTCTCATAATTCAATATAAAATTCGCATGACGACGTTTCGAAGTATTACTTCTTCATCAAATGCTGGATTAATACTGATTATTAGAGTATACTGATTATATTAATCCAGCATTTGATAAGGCAGTAGTACTTCGAAACGACGTCATGCGTATTCTATATTAAATTATGAGAAAATTCAAAATATTGTTTTATTATGACACTATTGTTTCGCCAACAGAGTTTATCATCTACATTTGATGAAGCCACTGTGTTGGTGTAACAATATTGTCATGTTAGACTAAATTATAATGAAAATTACAAATCTACTTGGTTCTATAAGAATTATGTTTTATTTTTTTTATTCAATTTACTTTAATATAAATCGACATTTGATGTACAAACGAACTAATCTCTGTTTTATCAAACTCTGTGGTTTCTTGCAGGAGAACTAATTCATTGTTAAATACTGTGGCTCATTCATTGATTGACAATTAGCCATGATTTATTGATTTTATTCTCAAATCGAGTACAAATAGTTGAAGATTATTCAAATAAGGTAGAAAAATTTTGTCAATTGTCAATTTACTCGTGAAGATAGTACGTCTTTAAATTTGACACAGTATACAATTTTTCTGTACATAATTTCTCCTTCTGGTTAAAATACATATATAAATAAAATGCAAGGTAAGATCATTCAGTCGCATTTTACTTATTGTTCCACTTTTATGTGCTTCAACTGTAACTCCACCAACTGGTCAATTCTTTGACCAATTGCGCGCCCATTCAAAGAATCACATACGTGGATGAATCCTGGGGAACCTTTTAGTCTATTGAAAAATATATAGTTTGTTTATTATCACTGCTTTCATCTATACAGTTGCAACTGCACTTTCATACTTTTACCACATTTTTAAGCAAATAAATAATGTAGTAAATTATGTTTACTCGAAATGTACTAATACAACAAAATGTATTCAATTATCTATACATAAGCTGTATATAATTATATAAATACTATAAGAAACAAGATCTGTGTGTTTCAAATTCATATTAATAGTTATTTTCGATACGCACAAAATGATAAAATTGAAAAATTAGGGTCTTCACATCCGGACAACGTTGAATCCTCTCGTGGCTCTGTAACTCAGTAAATCTCCGCGGGACATTACCAAGTTTTTCGCCGTCCCCCGTGGGAGTTCTGTATAACGATCGAATGTATTCTAATGCTCGAGTGTGCGACATGAACGCCTTTGTGTGCCCAGGTTGGAGCAACTTAGGCGGTATTTATCAAAGTTAAATTCGCAAGCCTAAATTTGCAGTTAGGTAGGTAGGGATGGGATTATGAAGGTATTGTTCTTAGCCTTCCGCGTGTACGAAGGAAAATCAGTAGGAGTAGAGGAAGTCTGTTTGCGAACAAATATCTGGCTTCTATGTATTTCTCGCGCCGTGAAAGATATAAAGGATGAGTTAGGTGTTTGCTATATTGTTTGGCGTCCTGAATTCGTAATATGACATTTGTTTGATTAACTGCCAGGTATGCGAACGAATCTAACGAGAAACGTGCATCGGAATGAAATACGACGATCCTTTTGTTACATAAACGAAGAGATGCGACACGAATGTTATGGAGAATAACTTCCAGAGATTCTTTTGTTTTTCGTTTTTACGTCGCATTCGAAATTAAGAAATAATGGCCCCCAAGACGGCGAGGCTGCGTATTCTCAATATTGGTTCCTATTCAACTGAAATATTTTCATTTATCTAGCAACAACAAAAATTGGGTTTGGAGTATAAACCATAACTATATTAGAAAAATATACACTAAAGCAGGGGTTCCCAAACTTTTTTTACTACGCCCCCTCCTGTTAAAATGGAAACCATCCACGCCCCCTTCACAGTAAATTTTATGGGCATGTGAAAAAAACCAAGAATTACATTGAAAACAAAACATGTATTTTCAATAACACAAAGAACAACATCTGAAGAGTCAATTTAAAGACATACTGTTAGAGAAAAACATAGACAAAAAGAACATAATAAACTAGTAAACTAGTGAGATGAGTGGGCTTGCATTTTCTTCACTAGTAAACCTATTCTTGGTTGTGTTTTAGTAAGGCACAACGTAAGTCACTGGTAACATCAAGTTTGTTTCTGAACTTAGTTTTAATTGCAACGAGGGTTGAAAATGCCTTTTCACACAAGTAGGTACTCGAAAAAGGAAGATATAATCGAATAGCTGCCTGTGATACACGAGGGTACACTTTGAAATATTTGATCCAAAATGATGACTTGTCCATTTTGTCAAAGTCGTACTTGGCATAGGAATCATGCTTTATCTCCAAACCTTCTTCTTGCAGTGCTTCTGTCAGAAAGTTGGTATTGATATTGAAAGGGTCTTTGACAGTCTGTAAATACCCTCGTCATAAGTGTCTGTGAAATATTTCCTGAAATCTTAAGTGAGGTTCACCAAGTGGTTTATTATTAGGCTTTTCATTCTTTAAAAACCTCCTTGAACTGTGGCATCTGAGATTGACATTATTCTGGCAAAATTTGAATAATTGCAGGGGTTTGCTGATATTTTTGTCTCCAAATCTGCATCTTGATGACATCACGATGAATCACTATATTTGATTCTCCACCCTGCAGTTTTAAGTTAAGGTTTTCAATCAGTCAAATAATCTAGCTAAAGAAGTCTGAGTGTTTTGTGGTAACTTCCTAAATCCTATCACTAGAGTATCTGTTTTAGGACAGCAGGATTTGGCTCTAATCTTGATATCATCATATCTATATAATTGACAACAAACAGTAACTAACTGGAAAGAATAAAATCTCTGACAACAAACAGTAACTAACTGGAAAGAATAAAATCTCTAAAAAGGAGAAGGTAGAGAACAATGGGTCTCAGGGTTCCATTCTAGAACCATTATTATTCATCATATTCATGAATGATATGACGGTAAAAGCGGTAAAGCTTCAACACACTTATTTTCTGATAACACCACCCATCTGCTAAAACATAAAACATTAATCCTGTTACAAATTTCAAAAGATTAAGTGACTCAAGAGTATGAAGAATGATTCAGGTGTAATTTTTTTTTATTTAGATGAGACTTCCCCTTTAGTGGAGTCTCGTAGTGAGCTTGTCCTTTCAGGAAATACACTCAGCAGCAATATGAGTTAGTGATA